ATGTAAAAAACACTAAAAATCGGGAATCGTTATTTTTCAATTTCACGACAACGTAATTTTTAAGTTTTGGAAATGCAAAGGGAACTATAATATGTTTACTGCCAAGTTTCTAATGATCCTTGCCGAAATCAAAGAAATTGTTAATAGCTCTTTCAAAATTTGATTTATCATGTAGGTATTTGGCGGTTAAGAAAAAAATTATAAGCACACCTACTTAAAATTTAATAAATAATTTGCACAACACCATCTATCGATGACATTGGTTAACTATTCTACTTTTTTAAGTAAGAAATATATATTATAATTCTAGTAAAAAGGGTCTCCGGTTCTCCAAAATCACCATAGAAAACATTTGTATGCCGCTATTTACGCTGGTATTCTGTGAAATCGTGACCTTTCCCCGGCCGAGCAAATCTATTGATGCTACAACCTACAACCATATTATAGCTTATAATATAGCTGCAACTTGACTCTATTATGGTTGTAGCACGAATAGGTTATTAATTTATTATAACCCTCGTTTAAGTTTATAATCTGTTAATGAAATTGTGAAAAACGGAGCAAAAAAACGTAATACACAAGTAATATTTCTATGTTTCAAAAAGTCCAATAAAAAATTCCATGTTGCTTTCGTACAAATTTTAGATGCACGTGGAAACTTTCAAATAGTTTACAGTTCTTCTTTCTTGAAAATTTCTTCCAAGTGAAATATTGGATCTGTAACCATTTTTATCCTATTTTCATTCCGTTTAAAATATGTTTTAAATGTGATTTAAAGATTTAATTATATTTTCCTTAATTAATTTGAGTTTTGTTTTGTGCATACACATCAAAAGTGCTCGAGATTCATTTTAAACAACATAATATAGTGCTTGTTGCAAACTGATATTAATATTTATACCATAAAGTTTAGTAATATATTACATTATCTTTTAGTACCGACCGCATCCTTTTTTAATCGACTTCAAAAAGGAGAAGGTACTCAATTCAGCTGCATGTTTTTTATGTGTACCTATACTTCAGAACTTTTTACTAGGCAAACTGATTTTTATGATTCTTTCTTAATTTGAAACCTGGTGCTTCTCGTGTGGTCCCATATAAATTCCATCAAAATTTGACCAGTAGTTTTTAGTTATTTATTAATGGACTTCTAATACATTGGTGATAAAAATAAAAATAAATACACAGAAACAAATAAAAACAATTTCAGGGACAAACAAACAGCTATATTCTCAAAACTATGGCCTCAAGTTAATGCCAAAAGATAGGACTAATTCAGCATGATGTCAGGTTGGAAACCTAACGCGGATTTTCAACAGACCCCCTGAATTGTAATCGCCTTCACCGATTGCATGATCAGCACGGCTACTAGTCGCAGAACGTGTCGTAATAGTAAAAATAATGTACTTATCTTTGTATGAATAAATAAAAATAAAAAAGTCTTGTGAGGCTTTCGGCCGCAGCCGTGAGAGTCTACCACCCGTATGAGGTCGACACATATGCTCCACCAACCAATACAACGGCAGATATAATCAAAAGGCAGTTATAAGATAAAGGTAATCATTTGCCATCAGAAAAGTTTTGTGTCACTGACGTTGAGTATGTATATGCATTTTTCGATCATGTTTGTCTCACCCACCAACAAGTTGCCTTCAATCATTCAAAGAGAAGAAGAGAGCGCCATTGAGAATAGCGACCCGCCAAACAACCATCGCAGAGACGCAAAATAGCAACAAGCATCAATACGACTATCGTCGGGCGTACACCATCCCAAGATCCCCCATAAAATGCCAGCGGATATCACCACCCGCATACCTCTATCGACCAGAACCACAAGATGCGTTGAATCAGGCGCAGCACACACGCAGATCCATCACAAGACGCAATACCGCAAGTAGCAGCAAGCATCAATGCAATATTTATATGATGATTCAACCGTAGTCTGCCAACACTGACTGCCGTGACTTTTCTTGCTCCAAAACGCCTCCCAGTATGGATACGGAGGTCCTATTTCCAATAAGAAATGGTCTGCACCCTGTAATGGAACACATGAGTATGTAGGCAGCTACTTTAATATTTGGAGGAAATAATTTTATTATAGTAATATCAAAAATATACCAATTCACTTTTGGAATAGAAAATGAAATAGTGCTTAAAAATTAAAATAGAAAACCGCAATGTTTCCTGTTATTTTCATATTATGAAATAGGCGGAAAAATTGTAGCGAATGGAAATATATTTTTGACGCATTTGAATTTTGATTCTTAATTGATAACAGTGTGCTTATTTGTCATCCTTATTAGGGGTAATTTCCAAAAAACCTCATGCAACAAAATAAATATATATAAATAAATATAATATAATACTACTAATAATATAATATAATACAACTAATAATATAATACTTTAACTTTTACATTTGGAATATTCAAATGTAAAAGATAAAGTATGTTAAATACACACATGTTTTCACAAATAACCTTGTTACCATTACTTCTTATTTTCCAATAGTATTATGTCAAACGTCAATAAAAAAAGTTTCGAAAATCACTCATATGATCGTGACAAAATGTAAAAAAAATCTCAAACAACAGTAGAACATATTTTATTTTAATTTTAATATGTTATTATTATTGAGATTCAAAATATTTTTTATTATTGTTAATTGAAAAAAAAACTTTTAACCGAATTATTTTAAAGCGATCAGAAATCAACATAAATATTACTTTAATTTTTAGGTATTTGTATTCAGGTATTATCGTAAAGCTAGGCTTTTTAACCTGACTCGTTAATATACATATTTTCTCATCAACTTTATTTAATTTTCAAAAAAATTTGCATCTAGTCACAACCAGTATTTTAATTTAGCATTCACCAAAGTACATCTTCAGGTCATTCTATCAAGTTCGGAAGTAAGATCTCATCATAACTAACAAAACGAAGCCAGCACTCAGCACACCTAGTTCTACTCTTCGAAGAGATTCAGTAGCAGATACCGAAGTACACCTTCACATCACTCAATAAGGTCCAAGACGTATAAGTATATTTATACATAAATCGTACGTACTTTTAGCGAAACAATATATTGTAATAAAAATCTGTGATTACTAAAATAATAATATCTTACCTTGGTCAACTATGTATCGAATTTAGTTTTTGGAATATTTTGTATTTATACAACGATCGATATTTTTCATCACGAGCCGCCTTAAACAATACAATAACCCACTCACGACGGCGGCCGAGCCCGGAGTGAGTCAAAGTGTATCTGTATTTAGTAAAATATATTATTACAAGGCTGCTCAAGACTCCAAAATTTTCGGAATTTCGCACCCAAAAAAATTAATTATAATTAAACAAAACAAAATTAAACAGCCATTTATATTCCATGGCTTTTCACATGATAGATGAAGAGATTAAAAAATAGATTGAGTTAAACAATCGATATTTTCAAAAGTTATCGTGTTTACCCCTCCATGCGGACTGGATAGATATACGCCATAAGCCACTAAAACCACTTTTTAGTAAAAAAATAACAATTAATCGATTCAAAAAAATAAGTTTAATAATCATTTATCTTTCTGACAGTTTGCTTTCTATATCATCTAAATGTTCAGTATATATAGATACGATTTCATGCGACAATACGTTGGACTCTTGATTTTTAGGCGCTAGTAGAACATGCCTATGCGCTTTGCGCTTAAGGCATGCAATATAAACGACATACATTCCAGTGCTGGGTACAGGCCCCTTCTAATTATAAGACGGCTAAAGAAGGAAGAAAGACAGACTTTGCATGTAGATTTTTTTAAATATTTCAAACATACAGTTTTCCTTTTTCAAAGACCACGTGGTAAATCAGCAATTAAAATTGCGATTGATAAATTACAATTAATAACAACTTTGTCCATGGGGGTTGAACCTAAGTTGCTTGCGTACTTTTAAGTTTATGGGGAGTACCCATTACTCTAAATTTAATAAATCTTGTTGGGTATTATTATAACCATATTAAAATGTGTTTTTTTTTGTTTTTTGAACATAGCACATATGGTATTCTCACCACAATGTTCATCCCTGTCAGTACGATGCGACTCACGCAATTTATAGAATCATTTTAAATTTCTTCGCTTTATGATGTCCTGGTACATTCGTCGCAAACAACACGTGTTTTCAGCTACAGGTAAGGTGCGCTTACACGAGGGCAATAATTGCTCGGCGACACCAATGGATCGGATCTGGAACAATTAATGGAGCAATTTCAAAGCAATGGAGCAAATTGCGGCAATTATTTCGGCGATATTGCTTCTAATTGCTCCAGATATTTCATATCACTCAATGTCGCAGATACGAATTGACGAATATCCAATGGGCTTGGAAATTCCTAGCAATTTTTGTATACAATATGTACCGTAATTAACGCACACCCTCAGACACCCCAATTAGTATATTATGTTATTATCATAATACATACACTGAATTTTTAGGTAAACATTTTTATGCACTGATTATTTATCAAATCAGTTATACTAATTCCGGAAGAATGGTGTGGTCACAGTACAAATCCACGAACGCAGACTTTAACGTGCTTGAAATAAAGTTCATTTTTCTTTATTTTTATTAAATGACAGAATTAGTAATAATACAAATAGAACTACACTCTTAAAAGTCTTATTGCCTTAAGTTACGGTCCATTTCAGTTTGTTTTGACTTTACAGATTTAGTGTGACTGTAATTTACGTAGTTTTAATTATTTTAGGGATAAAAATTACCTATATTAAATATGATAGGAATCGATTCAGTAAATGATTCTGAAAAAACTACTTTCTCAAAGTGCGTTAATTATGTTACATGTTGTATATCTCATTCGCACTTGTTTGTTTTGCGGCTTGCCGTCTTGCTTCCGCGGGGAGAGCGAGAGGTCGGGTGGAAGTAGGATAGCGTGCGGCAAGGCGTCGTCAGTCCAGCGCGTCAGCCTCTGTTTGTTGTGACTGTATTTTAAAATGGCGTCGTCTTTGTCGTGGAATAATGAAAAGATTATTAACTTTATTGATGCAGTTCGCTTGCATCCTTGTTTGTGGGATAACAAAAGTCCTGATTTTAAGGATCGTTTGCTAAAAAAAGATGAATGGACTGCTATTGGGCTGCAGTTTGAAATATCTCATAATGAAGCAGTAAAAAAGTTTAAAAATTTACGCACATATTTTAACAATGAAATAAAGAAATTGGAGAAAAAGCAAAAAAGTGGCAGTGGTGCTTTTCAAGAAAGCAATTGGTTTGCTTTTAAAAGTTTGCTTTTTTTAAAAGGCACAGATGAAGCTGATTCCGGTCTAGAAACGAAAACAAAATCAGAAGTAAGTATCAGTTTAATAAAGAACGTATGTGAAATCAAATAATTATATAGTTATTTATCATATCATCAGACAATGCAAGTTATAAGTTACTTGCGTCCGCAACTTCCTTGGAGCTTTAGGTTAGATGTCTTACACCCGAAATATCCTTGTTACAAATAAGCAGATTGCCATGGGACACTTCCACGTTGAGACATAAAATAATGCATAAATTCATCTCTGTTCAATTTAGCTATTACAGATGCATTTCTTGGCTGATTTTCTAAATTAATTAAATCGTCAGGATCATAGTTTTGTTCTCCATTGTCCAGGTATTATGTTAAAATCGGTATCCTCCATATCAAACGTAGCAGGTGGTGTATATAATCGTCGCGCTCGCTTGTTTCGTCGTAAAAAGTTATGTAAATAGCAAGTAGCCAAAGTGGAACATTTAACTGTTTCAACTTCTAGTTTAAAACTTGTGTGGAAAATTTTAAATACTGAACTTAATAGACCAAAAACGTTTTCAACTACTCTCCGTGCTCTAGATATTCTATAATTACAAACTCTTTCCGGAGATCCTCAATTTAAATCGCACGAGTATGGTTTTATAATATTTTTGGAAAGTGGGAATGCATCATCCGCCACCAAAACATACGGAGTGTTCCGTTCTCGGTGTGGTAATGGTTCCGCTGGTGGAATGGGCAATGTTTTATTTTTGATAGCTTTCCCAAACGTTGTGTTGGCAAAAACTCCTCCGTCAGATATTCTGCCTTTGCATCCAACATTTACGTACAAAAATTTATAATGAGCATCCACGACAGCAAACAAAACAATGCTATGAATTTTTAAGCTATTGCATAGCTTCTATCGCGGGCCTTGAACGTGGGGACCGAATCCAGAAATTTATTCCGACGTAACGAAAAAACCTCACGCTCCTCACTCCGACGGGCACGGAGGTGTGGCTTGAAGGCCGTGCATCGTCTAACGTCGTTTCAGTTCGGCAGACTTCGGCACTCGGCAGACTTCGGCACGGTGTTTGTGTGCGTGCGACTAGACGTATGCGTGTACACTAGCTGCTAACTCAATGATAAAAATTCCTGAATAACCTACATGTATTGTAAGATATTAAAATATTTTAAACAATATTAACTTTTCATTTATTCAATAATTATTTATGTAATCTAAGTATCCTGTTTACTCCAAAGAATACAGTTTTAATTTTTTTTATTGGATAGATTGGCAAACGAGCACACAGTCCACCTGATGCTAAGTGGTTGCTGCAGCCCGTAGACATCTACATCTACTCTCGATTACAAATCAAAATGCAGATGTGTTGTCACCCGTGAGGACTAAGGTGCCATACACCACCATTCTGAGCAATATATTTTCTTTTATAATATTATTTAATAACTATTTATTTTATTTTTTAGGTTGATACGAATGCTGATGATACGATCACATTTAACCCCGAACTACCACCACCTTCGAAGTCACCAAGTGCTAAGAAGAAAAAACCCATTGAAGATGATCGTTGTCGTGACGCTTGTGAAGTTATGGAAGCAGTAAAACAGAAGATTTCCACTAAATCATTAGCTTTTGGAGAGCATGTAAACCAAAAACTGTTAACATATAGTCAGTATGTACGCAATCAAGTCGAATATAAAATCTCTTCAATCTTATATGAAGCCGATATGGGATATTATGATGAAAGAAGCAGAAGCAATGTTTCGGGAAAGCAGTATTCTTCTTCACCCAGCGTTTCTTCCTCTTACCGCCAACGTGTATACTCTCCTGCTCCTTCTCCTCTTTCCCACCATGCTATACCCACTCCTAGTCCTACGTCGGTTTACGAGGCTAGCAAATCTTCTGACTAAAACACACTAAACACTCAACCTTAATGTCAGTATTCTCCTATATCTACATACGCTTCTTCTTCAATAACTCACCACCCCAATACTCCAGCTGCAGAGATCGAATATACAGAAGCAATTCAACAAGCAATATATGGTATATTGATGGTTAGAACAGTTCGTAATTCAGACGGAAATACTACTGCCGCGGAGTACATTACTACTGATAGATTTTTTTTATTTATATCTTCACGCGCAATCCCTAACGGGGTAGCCAGAGAGAACAGATCGCCAAGTGTCACGATCCTTACATACCTCTTTCGCTTCTTTCAGGTTCATTAACTTCTGTAGTGTATGTGCCTCCACCCTACTAGCATATGTTAATAAATGTACTTACTCTTAGGTTTTAGTAAAAAATGAAGCACGTAGTAAATTAGATGCAATATTTAAAGGTCCCTATACAGTTATGGAAGATTTAGGTTGCAACGTAAAAATAATTAAAAATAATAAAATTGAATTAGTACATAAGAATAGGACTAGGCCTTTTTGTCAATAGATTTGAATGTAAGATTTAATTTTAGATAACATTGCAATGTATAATGATAAGGATAAACGTATGTACCATTTTATTTGTAATAAGTAACTTATGTCTATTAAACACTATTATTTTAAAAGATGATACTTCAAGTAAATATCTAGTAAAAATTATGTAAAAAAAAAAGAATGTACCTAATTCTTTTTTTTTTTCTATGTCCTCGGGAGGTGAAGTGTAAGACTAATATGTATGCTCCTTTAGTTTAGTAAGTAAGTACATTTATTAACATATGCTAGTAGGGTGGAGGCACATACACTACACTTCTTCATACATCCACGTCTAGGTATCCGAGTACTCTTGACCTTCCCCTCTTCGAGCAATTTGCTCACATGGTCTTCGAAAGTTCGTCTCGGTCTACCTCGACACCTTTTAATATTTGCTTTCGCTCTATATATTTTCTTCACCATTCGGTCTCCACTCATTCGCTCAACGTGCCCAAACCATTGGAGTACGCCCCTATCAATTTTTGTGATAAGGTCATCTTTCAATCCTGCCATATTGCGAATCTCTTCGTTTCGCTTTCGATCGGCTATGGTAACGCCACACATTTTACGAAGAGATCGCATCTCCACTGCATTCAACTTGCTTTTATGCTTCTTCTGGCATACCCAGGTTTCGCTGCCATATAACAAAGTCGGTACCAACACTGCGTTATGTATTGCAAGACGTGCACTCTTCACCACGCCTTGCCTTTTGACTAATGCATTCAGGGCACCATTGACTTTGTTTCCGGCAGCGACACGCCTATCCACATCTAAATCACATCTTCCATCCCGGCTGAAAGCACTCCCCAAGTATACAATTTCATATACCTGTTCTAGACGTTCCTGATTTACTCATATTTCACATTTCGTTCTTTCTTCGTCCTTTTCAAATACCAGAACCTTAGTTTTATTAGCATTCAAACGGAGACCTTTAATTTTACATTCCTATTTCATACACGTGACTAATGCCTGCAGTTCTGCTTCTGATGGTGCAATAAGCACTGCATCATCAGCATACAGCAGACAATTTACTTTTATGTCACCCAATTTCAAGGATTTCAATTCACTTCTGGGAAGTGGAGATTCATACAAAATTGGATTGTATTATTAGAATTAAAAATCTATTGAATAAAACTATTATTTACGGATTTTATCGCGTTTAATTACTTTAATTTATTTTTATTATTATCCCGACGTTTCGGGTGCTTTACAGCGCCCATTGTCACGGGGTGGACTGAGATGTTTGACGTCTCAATGTCATGGTTAGTCCGGCTACCTTCAGTTTTTTAATATTAATTTTTGGTCCGATTTACGCAAAACGAGCTTATAGTATCATGAAGTCTTGCAGTGGTATGCTTGGGTTTGGGTTTAATTTTGTTGATTATAGGATCCCAAGCAGATGGTAGCACCCAACCATCTTCTCTATTGAAATTTGGATGTTTTTTAATTTCAATAGCCTCGCGTATCATCCTTGGTAGGAATCGGTGTTCTTTTGCGAGAATTTGTGGTTTGTCAAATCTAATGTAATGGTGGGGACGATCTTGAACATGTTCGCAGACTGCAGACTTCCCGGAGCGTCGGTGCTTCACATCAGCTATATGTTCCTTCACGCGGGTTTTTATAGATCTCTTTGTTTGACCTATGTAAGAGAGACCACATTCACAATCTAGATTGTACACACCTGCATCTTGTAGAGGAATATTACATTTGCCTCTACAAGATGCAGGTGTGTACAAGCTAAACCCAAACCCAAGCATACCACTGCAAGACTTCATGATACTATAAGCTCGTTTTGCGTAAATTGGACCAAAAATTAATATTAAAAAACTGAAGGTAGCCGGACTAACTATGACATTGAGACGTCAAACATCTCAGTCCCCCCGTGACCATGGGCGCTGTAAAGCACCCGAAACGTCGGGATAATAATAAAAATAAATTAAAGTAATTAAACGCGATAAAATCCGTAAATAATAGTTTTATTCAATGTGTAGTGTTCGCGTAAATTTAAGAAATCATTATATTAAAAATCTACTTAATTGTGAATTTAAATAGGTAAATAAAAAGTTTGATTAATATAATTATTTTTAAATTAAATACCCTCACTTTTAAATTATAATAACTTACCTTTATATATTCTCGAAGAACTTCTGCAATAGCTCTGCATACAGTAGGTACAAATAGTGCAATACAACTATCAGAAATTCAAAACAGATACATTAAACTTTTGTATGAATCTCCACTTGCCAGAAATCGAAGGGTTAAAGAAAGTTTTGTTGATGCAGAAATTGGTTCTTTCATGTTGGTCGTCTGTTTCGTAATTAATGGGCTAACTTTATTCAAAAGTAATTCAAAGTCTGTTCGTGACATTCTAGTAAAGTTTTTATATCATCTAATTCTTTACACAATGAAAATTGCGGCCTATTTGCCAAAAGTTAAACTGAGTGACAGGAAAAGAAATAGTGAGATAAGGAAACGTTGTGGTCTGAAAGAAGATGTAGTGACAAAAATTGAGAAAGGTATGCTGAGATGATTTGGCCACATCAAGAGAATGAATGAAGAACGATTGACGAAAAAAGTGTATAAGGCGAGTGTGAATGGAAGTGCTGGGAGGGGTAGACCCAGGCGGACTTTTCTAGACCAAATTAGGGACGTCTTGAAAAAAAAGCCAGGTTAAGAGTACCCTAAACCGTAGAGCATGTATGAAGGGAATAATGAAAGTAGACGGAGAAAAACAAGTATGTAAGGATCGTAGCAAGTGGAAAGAAGTGGTCTCTGCCTACCCCTACGGGAAAGAGGCGTGATTATATGTATGTATGTATTTGCCAAAAACCATCGCACCCAGATACGCCTATTCCTTTTCTTTCTTTTTTGTTTTTGATTAATAATAAAAGAGCGCTACAAGCCGCCGCAGCAAGAACAATGTCGTCCATAGCGAGCGAATACTGAAATGCTCGTGTAGGACAGTATTGCTAGTTGACGAAGTTGCGCCATATCGCTCAATATTGTATTGCGCAGTATTGATGCTTGTTGCCGTTGCCGTAAATTGCTTAAAGTAGTCGTAACGTCATAGTTGACGAGTATTGACTGGAATTGAGCAATTTTAGTTGCCTGTATAAGCCCACCTTAACGCGGTTAAATTAAACTAAATAAGGATTACCAAGGTGTTTTTATAATTTTTCATTATTCAATTTAATAGGTATAACAAGAAGTTGTTAACAAACTATAATTAATAGAAGAGAGAGTAATAGTAGAGAGTACCCACAATAACCCAACGGATTATAAAGCTGAAGTGGCAATAGGCCGGCCACATACGAGTAGCTCGAAGAATCGCCAACCGATGGGGAAGAAAGGTTCCTGAGTGGCAGCTTCGTATCAGTAAGAGAGGTGTGAGGCGGACCTCCAATTTATGAAGTAACGATCTGGTAAGACATGCAGGAACTCGATGAATGGAGGTTGCTTACGACTGCGCTTTGTAGTATTCCTTAGGGAAGCCTATATCTAACAGTGGATTAATAAAGTTCTGTGTATTGTACCTAAATATAAAAGGATCCTGCAATATTTTTGGGGTTATATTAATTTCTAGTTTGTGAAATAGAGTTGGTAATTTCCACACACATATAATAAAGTGCACATATTATTGCATACGTTCTCTGCCTTATGATTATCCTAGTATAATGTGGAAGGTTAACACGTGTTTGCTTGTTGGGTTGTTGGAGTTTTAATCATTGCCGTTGCGGAGGAAATGTTTTGAGTAGTTTAATTAAATTTAATTGAACTTAGTAAAAATACTTGATATATAATATAAATTCAACGCTGTAAGTTTTTTTTAGTAAATTCTGAAAACTTTAGCACGAAATCTATGTCGCAATTGCTATAAGTATAATTTCCACTTCCACCACATTTTATATAGGAGAGGGGAAAAACGAGCATGTGGCTCACCTGATGGTTAGTTTCGACTGCCGCTAATGAACAACTGCAACACCACATCAGTGGAATTGCAAGTAGCTAGGCTGCTGGTTTTAAAAAGGAGTAATCGCGTTTCTTGAATCTCCTTGTCAAAAAAACCCAAAACCAAAAAAAAAAAGAAAAGAAAATAAACCTTTTGAAACAAAAAAAAAAAAAAAAAAAAAAAAAAAGATTTAATATGTTACTGTTTCGTATGGTATATATGGTAGTGTAGAGAACCGGAAATACTTTTTGCTAGTACCATCTTAGTCCTCTAGTGCGAGAGCTCATCTGTATTTTGATTGTTAATCAGGGATAGATGTAGGTGTTTACGGGCTACAGAATTCACTTACTATCAGGTGAAATGCGTGCTCGTTTGTCACCCATCTTCTACAAAAAAATATAGGAGATATAAAATTGCCACTAAGTTTATGGTAAGTTTATGCTAATCATTTTGATTGGATGGGGTTTTCAAAAGGCAATTTTATTTCTATGCACGC